GCTATGAAATATCGCGCCCGCGTGCCTGCGCCGTGCTTTAGTGGAGAATGGAGATATACGCTTGTGTACTAAATATTTCACGGGGAAAGGGAAAGAGGAGCAAATTGGAACACCGTAGTTTGAGAGCAGTTGTTTGTGAGAAAAATTCTTAGGTTGCACCATCTTACTTTAACTTTGACAAGCGTCAAAAATCTGTCAAACTCCATACAAAAAGCACCGGTTAACGTAATTGTTACGATCTAAGATAGGTGATGCAACTCAGCTTAAGTCATTTGTTGCACCAAACAATTGAATTGTTAGTCTTGAAGTAAATTAAGTGCAACTTGTGATGTAGGTATGGGAGCGGCATGGGAATGGTGATATTGACATAATTATGACGTGATAGAGCATAAAAATCTCAAGTCTCACTGACATTTGACGTCACAAAAACACCCTCTCATATCTCAGGCACTGACTCAGTTAAGCGCTAGACATTTAAAAACAGCTTGAAGTAAATATGGTATTTCATCTCAATTAGGATTTGGGTCCCAACATGTCTCGTGTCTCGAAGTCCCGGGACTTTTAGCAAAAGCTGTCTCGTATCCCAGGACTTTAAAATATCGAGACTTCCCAAACCATAATAACAAGATATTTAAAACTTTCAGCTGACATGTCAATCACGAGGTAAATGCCCATACAAAAACCGATCTCGAAACTTCGTCGCCATTTTTCCGTCATTATGCCCCAAGCTTTACCGCGGATATTAATCATAGACGGTTCATTAGATAGATGCTTGATTCATGATACCATTACCTTTGGAACGGCTTTTAATAAAGTAGAATGGGCCACTTTCCGTAGCAACATTGGCTAGGATGAAACTGATCCGTTTAAACATGATACTGCGATAAATTTAGGCTTTCCTTCGCCCTTCAGGTGACCTTGGATTTTGAATTTTCAGGAGTCAATAGGATTAGATAACATCTCTTTCTTCTAAATTCTTCTAAATTATGTGCAAATGTAGTTTCTTCATCATTTATCATGATGATGATGTAGTTTCTTAGGGCCAGATTTTTGACGCGGTCAATTTAGCTTATTACGGTCAAATAATGTTACTATTGGTTAAATATTAACAAAATAAATACATAAGTAACAAAGTTACACTAAAAGTAATTATGATGTTTAATTCAAATTGTAAACGACTATTTAAAAAGCTCTTTGCTGATATTTAACTAATTAGTGGTAGAATTAGCGCATAAACTCGTAACAAACAAAGGTGCATCTGTCTTTCTTTCATTTAAATATGTTTCTTCACAATGTAGTAAACAAAACAATAACTTGAGATTTTTTATACAAAAATAGCGTTGAAATTACCTTGGCAAGGCGAGACAAAGCCCGCTAAGCCAAGGTGAAAATAGCGAAGGTATTCATCAGGGATGGAGCACTTTGACGTTTACATAACGATGACGTAATCTAGAAGGCGCTCATAGCTGCGCGCAAGCAGTTTTTAAAGTTCATAAATTCGCAAAAGACCGGAGATTTAGGGTTGGCACATATGAGAAACTTATATTTTATAGTGACAGTGTAGCTAGTGATAAGTGCCTTACGCTCAAGCTGAAAATATCAATTCGGAAACCGGCAGTAACATTATTTTCTATTTATGTTCGTGATTACAACCGGTATTTTCTGTCACATACAAAAAATAACAATCAATTATCACAATTTCCATTGTTTAAGCCACAGCTTTTATTTGTCTTTATGTCAGGTAAGCTACATAAATTAATCTGACAAATTGTCGACGACGCTTTTAACAGTTGGGTATCAAATAGTATTCATCTATTAATATTCTGTAAAACTCATATGCTAATTTCAGGAATCTTGGTCTTTTTTTGGTTCGTTTAAATTTTTAACACACTCTATTATTCTATTCCCGAAAAAATGACCTCAAAAACAGAGCGACCGATCCAATAATATAAATGCGAAAGTTTGGATGTCTGGATGTTTGTTACTCTTTCACGCAAAAACTACTAAACGGATTTTGTTGAAACTTTACAGCATTATTGTTTGTAACCCAGATTAACATATAAGCTATAATTTATGCCGATCTGTGACACTAAATTTCACGCGGGTGAAGCCGCGGGCAAATGTGCTATAAACGCAGAGGTTTCTGTGTTGCCAACCCTGCATTTTAACAGCAGATTTACGGCAAGCATTGTGATGCGGCGAGCACACTCGCCCTGCATACTAAGGCGCGATCATACGCTAACCTTTGTAGCCGTGTATTAGTTTTGGAGGGAAAATGTAACCGCCATTATAATGACGTCACACTCCGTCAGAGGATCAAAGAACGTGTTTAGTTGAAGAGGAAGTCTGGTATGTGTTCGTTTTAGCCGATGGGATTAATAAAAATTGGCTATGGTTAATATTTTATGAGTACCGGCATTGCTTAGAGCTTAGGAGTTCATGAGCCTTGGAAAAGTGTCCTTTGTGTAAGTAGTACCTATACATACAATTTACTAACTCAGATTCGTCGGTATGAATTTCGGTCCCTCTCAAAGTTATGATTGCACTCTATCTCTCTCAGAATAAATTATGCTCATTCCTTATAAAAAATAAAAAAACAATATTTCTATCCCCTATTTTAACCTCGCAAAGCTTTTTTATCGCGAGAAAACTTCATATCTTTTTGCCAGACCCATCTACCTCTTTCAATTCATCAAAATTGGTCCAAAACAGACAGTGTTACTTTCGCATATTTTATATTACTGTAGATTCTCTGTCTACATCAAGACTTCAAGGTACCTTCGCAGTCTGGTATTAACCGAAGTTAGGGTTGCCATCTCTAAAATTTGGCAACCAGGACAAGTCGCGTGAAAACCCCGGATTTTGGAGCCCAGAACCCGGGCATGTCTACAGTTTTTTTAAACCTTGGTCGCGTCGCCCGGCAACGACCTAAGAATGAAATTTGTATGCACGAATTACCAATGAAATCCCGCCCGGATGTCCTCTCCGGACAAATCCGAGGAAACCCGGACAAGTGGCAACCCTAACCGGAGTGCACTTGCACTCGTAAATATTTTACTGCGGGAGTAACCGCGCGAAGTATGCGTACTCATTACGTTTCTACTCACAGTAATAGAAAACAGGATAGTGAATAACAAGTTTGTTTTCAAAACGAAATCCTCGAGCGAAGTCTGTAGAAGATATCGAAGAGTTTTAAAGTATCTTATTTTTAATTTATAACTATGTATATTTTAAAGACTTTTTATAAACCCTTGAAAAAGAGGCTGACAATAGTGACTGAGCTTTCTTGCGCTGCTTCTTCTCAGCATTGGCCACAGTTGGCCCACTACAGGGTTAAAGTGATACTGGGACGTGAAAAAAAACCTTTTTATAAGACTACTGTTACTACTGTTTGTATTATTATCATAAAGAACAGCTCTTTCTGAATAAATAAAAATAAAATAAAATACCTACTCTCGAATTTGAATTGTTTTTTTTTTAGAACAAAACAGGTATTTATTTGCATCCTGTTGTTTTAAAACTAAGCTGGAGTTATAAAAAAATGAAGTAGAGTCAAAACCTTATGTAAGTAAATTAGTGGTGTTAGTTTCTGTTAATTATAACTTAACTTCATTGTTAAATTAGAGTTAACAAAATATAATCTGTGAATTGATATAAAATACAATGAATATGTCTCCAATACCAACACTTAAACATAGAAGATACACAAATCTTATAAGCTAAGTAATTAAAACTAAGTTACATAGATTAATATCTAAAATTAATTTAACAAAAACGAACTGACGATTTAGCAATATATTTTACACCAACTTTGTAAAATAACGAATTTATTCGTCCTCACTTCTTACAGCTGTCACGTTTCATAAACTCATTAAGGCGCTCTAAATTAGTTCATTATTTAGTAAAATTATAGCACCTTTTCATAGAATTTCATAGATACTTAGCTACTTTAGTTCTATTATAAGATGAGATTAACTCCTTTATCCAATAATAGTAATTTTGGAATATAACGAAGTTAGCTAAAGTGTTTGAATCGGTTAATTAATAACGGTATTTATAGAGATAATAAGATTTGTATAACTAAGTAAAATGTTCAGGAATAGCATTATGACTTTGATCTTCAAAGATATCTATTCAAAGAGGCATTATTTACTTAGAGATAGAAGTAAAATGTCTGACTACAATATTTTAGGAATGTGTTGAAGTAGTTTCCCTTAAATTAGACATCACTTGAGGCAAAACTTATGAGCAATTATTGCAATAGAATCCATTTTGGTCTCAATTTATTTTTTGTATTTTCCATCATGCTAACATGATCTCTTCTTCTCCTTCTTACTTCTTACCCTCCGATTTAAAGGTCAAGTAGCCCTTTTTAAATAAATATTTTATATTAGTAAATGATGTTTTTAAATTAAAAAGGATTATTCTTCAATTATTTCACCTAAAAATTTTCGTGTGACTGTACTTTTTTTTATTACAGTTATCATTTACGAGTGGTCCCAGTTCCCGGAAGAATATTATTTAATTTTTAAGGATCCGGCGACTGGGACCGCGGTCCCAGTTAATTGCGGTCCCAGTCGCCGGAAGCCTCATTCTACGCCTTATTCCAAACATTACTATGAGGTCTCACATGGTGGACGTGTCACACGGACCAATCACAGAGCTCTTTTCAACGCTGCGATTTTCTGCTTCACTTAGGCAAGCAAAGTTTGTGGATATTACTGGATATGGGCGTTATTCTCACAGAATAAATAAACAAGTGCAAAATCCGTATCACTGTCGTAGGCACCTATCTTCCTAAGCAACTCACGTGTAAATAAACAAAGAAAGCTAAAATTATGCTGTAAAATACCGATATGACTAAAACAAGAACACCGCAATATACCAAAATCGTTTTGCGGAATACTCGTACATCATAAACGGCACAACGCACACGTTTGATTTCCTCCAAGTACTACAAAGTAAACTTGCCCTTATTATTGTAGTTCGGATACCGCAAGATGTCTGCTCAAAAATTCTGGTAACGTCCACAGTGTATAAACTTATGACGACAATAAAAACATGACGTGAGAGATGTATGTTATACGGCAGGGTGGAGCGACTTACGGCGCTGAATATACGGTTTAGAAGAATGAGGAGTAAATTAACTTTGCTATTTGCTAGTGTAATGCTTCAACCACACCAACGCGTGCAGATCGCCATCGCCGGCGCGATCACAGCGCGATCATAGGGAAATGACAGGTCGCGTGAACTGTCATGGGTCGCGCGACCTGTCATTGGCCTGTGTGGTTGAAGCTTTAGTTCCAAAACTAAAATAAGGATGTGGTTGTGAAGGTAGCAGAGTTGAAATGGAGACAGAACGGCTGCCATTGCAAAACGTTCGATGAATTTTAGGCAAAATTATCTAACTTGTAAGACATACAACTGGCAAACTAGTGCCACAATACAACTGACAAACTGGCAACTAAAGCCACGATAGCCGAACGGTGAAGGGGTCGGACTGGCTGACTCGTGAACCGGGGAACGCGGGTTCGGTCCCCGCCGCCGCTCGTCGCTCGACTATTGTGGTGAGCTCACTCGTGATACAAGCATATTTAGCTTAGTACGAGGGGCTAACGGGAGTATTAGTAATTTGTTTAATAACAAATTACTAATAATCTTAAAAAAAATTACTGAATCCTGAGCAACCGGCTCATGATTCTCTAAAACTCCTTTAGCGTTATATTTTTTAAACTTTTCCTTTAGCTTGTCAGGAAAATGTCTGTGCAAAATTAACAGGTTTTTAAAAGAAGAGTATTGATGTCTCCCTTCCATTCAACTTTGGAAGATCAAAACAAAATGAAACATCTACCTACTTACGCTTCTCGTTTTCCAAAGCAGTGTGTATTCAAATGTAAGCTGTAGTATGGAGACAAGACTCTATGAAAACACGTTATAACAGTGGAATATGGCCGCGACAAGATTTTCTTCTTACCATAAACAATATCAGCTCAAAATTCTCTCTGTCACCTTCCTCGTAAGATGTTTAGCACACATACACAGATTTTAAAAGTTTTAATATTTTTGAGGCTGCTGGGGTTGAATTTTAACAGCTTTTTGTATAATAATGTACTACATACACGTAACACTGTGAACTCAGTGATACTTTATAGGTAACTAAACAAAAATATACAGAAAAGTCAAATTAAAGTCGTTTGTGATTTGAAAAATTTTCACATTGTAATTGGGGGCCCATAATTACGTAATTTGTAAAAGGATTTACTGTGTAGTTACAAGGAACCCTAGAGACACATCTGTCATTAAAAGAACTCGCCTTTTTCTTTGCAAAAGACATGTCAGAACCATAAACTTGTTTGGATTATACAGTGTGTCCGGGCTTGTAGTGATCAAACTTTAAGAACGGAATCTAGGGACAATTTTATCGATAAAAGTACTTCAAATTTGGGGCCTGACCCATTTCTCGAAAAATTACATCGATTTAAGTTTTTAATTTTTAGTTTTCACCTCTTCTTTAAAAAACAAGTGAAAGCGTGGGTAGCTTAACATTAATAGGCAAATATTTTATATCATGCGATAGCCAATAAAATTATCTATTAGTAGAAGAAGAAAACAGACACAAGTTTCATACATTTTATGGGAGTAAGAATGGATTTAATTAGAAAAATACATTACTTTTTTCACTTCTTTTTCAGTTATTTTCCAACACAAGAAAAACCAGGTTGTTAAGGTATGTATTATTTGCATTGTATTTTTAGTATTTGAGCTATTCTACAAAACGAATGTAAATTTATTAGTCTACGTCTATTAGTTTCGACGTAATTGTTGAACAAAGATACCCCTTCCCAGCGGTTTCCATAGTAATCGGAATAGGTTGTGTGATTCTTTCAGGCAGTGTATTTTCGCATGTCGCGTGCGCTATGGAAACCGCTGGGAAGGGGTATCTTTGTTCAACAATTACGTCGAAACTAATAGACGTAGACTAATAAATTTACATTCGTTTTGTAGAATAGCTCAAATACTAATAATACAATGCAAATAAAACATACCTTAACGACCTGGTTTTTCTTGTGTTGGAAAATAACTGAAAAAGAAGTGAAAAAAGTCATGTATTTTTCTAATTAAATCCATTCTTACTCCCATAAAATGTATGAAACTTGTGTCTGCTTTCTTCTTCTACTAATAGATAATTTTATTGGCTATCGCATGATATAAAATATTTGCCTATTAATGTTAAGCTACCCACGCTTTCACTTGTTTTTTAAAGAAGAGGTGTAAACTAAAAATTAAAAACTTAAATCGATGTAATTTTTCGAGAAATGGGTTAGGCCCCAAATTTGAAGTATTTTCATCGATAAAATTGTCCATAGATTACGCCTTTAAAGTTTGATCACTACAAGCCCGGACACACTGTATAGGTTGTCAAAGCCAAGTATTCGTACTTTCCTAAAAAACACAAAAATAACTTTTACCTACTTTTAGGTATTAAGGTAATGAAAGACGCGAATTTTAATCAGATTTGATTACCTTTCGTCCTTTAACTTTCTTAACAAATTCACTTAACAGAGAAATCAAATCAAATCTAAACGAGCAGATAAAGACAATAAAGAATTTGAAATAAGAATTTTAATAATTAGAACACAGACACAAAGCTGCTACTTCTGTTCGCGAACCTGAATAGATATCAAAATTCGACGAATTAATGAATTCTGGAATCGTCGGAACAAATTAAATTCGAAACGCTTAATCAGTATCGCAGTTTGTTTTTATTATTAAGAACAAAATTAAACCGGGTTACTTAATCCTAATAATATAATAAACAAAGAAAATTCTTCGTCCAACTCTGTCTCATCAAAGGAGTAATGACCACACCGTCAGATCTCCGAATGCGTTCAGATTGTTCTGTCGCGACGATCATATTATGGTGGACGATATTTTTTGTGGAGTTACAACAAAAAGGGGGGGTTCGTGGGTTGATTTTCACCAATTACGTGGGTGTAGGGGAGTTTCTTGGGGGGTTTTACCATGCATATTACATGAGAGGCAATAAGGTGTCAAAGTTTGGTGCCGTTGGAAAATACGCAGTGTCGTACGGTAGACGATTTGGGTTATTCAAACTGTGGATCTTGGGAAACCGTTACGAAAAATTCCATACATTTTGTATGGGTCGCTGATTTTAAATTGAGGTATTGACTTGGTTAAGTAAAGCCAGATTGCCAATCTACATTATTTTCATCAATGCTCAAAGCAAAAAATGATTTATTAGCAAGTCTACTACTACGAGTAGGTAGGTATATTATAGGTAAGTAAACCTATTTCGAAATTACGATTGTGCGATAGCATATTCTCTTGTTTTTATACAATCAACGGCTCATCTAAACATAAATTTTTGTAGCAAAATTGCAGCTATTTCAAATACATTAGATGTAATGGTAATTAATATAAGCCTGATGCCGTCTTGCATCATATCAATAAATAAATATTAATGTACCTACTAAAAATTGTTAGAAGGGCATCGCTCAATGTGATTTTAAAATTATTTATAATTATGTAAAAAGAAAAGAAAAAATTACAAGGGCTACCTTTTTAAATATTTTTGACGTTCATAGTGCCAGAATACCGGTCAAAATTATTATTTTTTAATTTATTCGATTTAGAGCTTGCAATAAAATAATTGAAATTAAACATTACTCGACTTCATTTGAGAAGTCAGAGCATTACAATGTTCAAAAGAACTTACTAACTATGAGCATTACAGAGAAGTATTTTTTTCTATTTCTCGAGGTTTCTGCGAGTTGATGCAACAAATCCAATTTAACAGACCAGAGCCTGTAATTGTTAAAAGTTTAGCGCGAAGCATTTACATAATGTAACTGTAGTTTCAATGGTTGTAAGTATATTGTTGATACAGTATTCTTGCACAATGCAGACCTAGGTACACCATTAAGATGAGCCATTAGTATGTAAATATAAAAAGAAAATAGGTACCTACTTGTGGGCGTCCTAACTTCATAAATATATTACTGAATGCTTATTCATTAAAATATTTGTTGTTTTACAAATAACATATGGCGCACAATGACGCACGCGACTCTATTTTATTTTTCAGCTGTCATAAATAATATTTAGTTTATTCATACAATGTTTGCATGACCTTAAAATATACTAAAAGTAATTTGTCCATCTTGTCACCAAGTGCAAAACCGTGGAATATTTTTTTTCTTTATCATTCTCATTTATTTATGTCTTATATTAAATTTTACCCTAATTGCAAGCTGTCCTAAAGATAGAACTACCCAGTTTTAAATCCCCACACACAGTAATCAGTTTAGGTGTAATCCGCCGTAGTAATATTGTAGCCACCTGATGCCGGCAAGGTGTTTGCTTTCGTGACGCTAAGAGTACCTAATTATTTACACCGATAGGGTTGGCACGCTTCCTTCAATTTTCTTTTTTTTCTTTTGTCTTTTTTAAATGGTGAAGGCGACTTATTTTTTTTTTACTTTTATTGCTTTATTAATGGCGATGGCGACCAGTATCTCTTTTTTATTTAACTTTAAACTGGTCTAATAAATTAATGCCAGTTTTCACCATCAATCCCCAATTTTTAAGTGACCCCTATGAATACAAAATTCCTGTTGTGTTACCATAGAGGTCACTTAAAAATTAGGGATTGATGGTGAAAACGGGCATAACTCTAACGGGAATGGTATCCCAGCACTGGTATTTGGCATAATAATATAGGACTTGTTGATTAATAGCTTTTTAGTAATTATTTAGCGTCGATTCGGTCAGCAAATTGATTTCCATTAACCGCTGGGCAATTTAATTGTGATGAACCCGCTCTAAACACAAGCATATAATTAACTTAGCTGGAATTAACGGTTTTTGTAATTTGTGGTCTACAATAATTTACAAAATTACTAAACATACGTAAGTGCATACTGTTGAACTATCCAAAATAAGGTTAATAAATAAATTAACTTTGAGTGCATTAACCACCTGGTGCACGCCTGGAGGCGGTTCGCAGAATAGTGAGTACAGGCCAAGGAAATCTAATTATAGGTGCTGTGGGTTTAGCTAATGAGCCGCAGTGAAGATGTGTTTTAAAAGACTTCCCGTTGGTGAATACTACAAACATTAGGTTTAGTTTGACGTATTTATTAATCTTCAGTTTTGTAAGGGAATAGTTTCATGATAAAATATTGATATGAAAACATGTTTTCAACTGATCCGTATTTAATATTATCATTAAATTAAAGATCTTATATTATATTACTGCAACTTCAGTAATAGCCAAACCTACAGCTTGACCAATGTAAACCAAGTAATAATGCTTGGGTAGCTTCTAAAAAAATATATCCACACCTAATTGAGATTTCATTTAAATTAACATTAATGAAGAACAAAATAACCCTCCTTTTGCTTTGCCGTAGTCGGGTAAAAAATAGCTTCAACTCCCGTTCAGCTCAAATCAAAACGTCAAAAAACATTGACGTTTTAAACGTCAATGATTTGACAACCCTATCGCCGCCCCAAAAAACGTGTGCGGCCATAAATCATCTTTCATCATTTTGTATCCCCGAGGTCTCTCCATTATTTTCACACCATAAGGAAAGAATTAACCGTCACCCTAATATGATTGGGTGCTCAAATATCTGTAGGAAACATTAATATTATACAAAGTGGTATCAAAAACAAGAATTCTGAGAAAAACCGCAAAAAACGCTTTCAAGTATACTAATAATGCGTTAAGGGACACTTCGTAATAAAATTATGTTATTGCGTTAAATTCCTGAAGGAACCTCTGTTATTTTATTCTGTGATAGGTATTATAAATGAATTGATCATGAAATTTTATTTTTTGATGTATTCATTAATTCTAAATAAGTTCCCAATGAGGGTTTTCGCGAATGAAAGATCCGATAGATGGCGGGACGTGGATGTGGGGTCTGACTGCTGCGTGATTGGTGGATTTTGACATATCTGTCAATGTCATGTCAAAAATAACCAATCATGCAGCATTTGAACCTCGCGTCTACGTATTGACATCTGGCGGATTTTTCATTCGCGAAAACCCTCATTGATGAGATACGGAAGATGAAACGTCAACTATGACATCTTATGTACTCAGACACTAAGTAAAGTTTTAATAAGTAAGAATTTGCAACAAGAATGTGTAGACAGATGATATCTACATCATATTTCATTATTATCGTCAACGACAGCCCTTTACAGTCCACTGCTGGACTATGAGCCTCCTCCACTATAGTGGAAGGTTTCGCCATAATCCCCACGCTTGGCAGGCGGGTTGGAGATCAGTCATATGCGTGGTCAGTTCAGTCTGCACATATGTATTTGATGTACTTGAATTTGGTTATTCTTACCGTTCGTTAGATAATTCCTGGCAATTAGTGTGACTGAGTTTGTTCCGGCGTTGCTTCTCAGCACTTGCCATCTGGGGGCACGGCAGTGCCCCCGCCAAGTCGAGCGCGAAGCAAACACTGCCGTACCATCCTTTACTGGAACCATTTCGCCGCATTTTCAGGCCCCTATTTGAGAACCTCTGGATAAGACCAGAACGCAGAAATTTTCGTCATCTAGTAAGCTATAATCACATACTTAAAATCCAAAATTTCAAGTCTGTAGGTCATTTAGTTCCGAAGTTAAGCGAAAGCAAAGTTTCGCATTTACGACACTCACTCACTGATGATCATCAAAATAGAACTAGTACTTCCCATAAACTCAGAGAACTGAAATTTGGTACAGAGTTAGGGTTTAATGGCCACATAAAGGGAAAACTATAAAAACTAGAAAAATCGAAGATCTGGAGTAACACCACATTCATAATAGAGATAAACAAGCAGCTCCATCGAGACTTGGCTAGTTTTTTACAGAATGTTTTTGGTGGGATATGTTTGTCTCGAAGCGCTGGTAGGGCCCAAAAGATAAAGAGAAATGTAAAGTGCCCCATAAGGGCTAATTTTTCTTTTTTTATTATTTACTATATTTCGACGTTCAGAAGTGCCACTTGTGGTCTAAACTGAATGAATATATTTGATTTTGATTGATTTTTGATTTAGGAAAAGCTATTTAACAGAATTTATTGGCTTTATGCATTTTTACAAAGAATACATAAATTACAGATATGCCAGGCGTTGCAAACTCGGCGTTGTATCTTTTATGCCTTGCTTTCGAACGTGTTGGCGGGACATAAAACTAGTACAATGTCGTGACAGCACATCATTATACCGTCCCGTAATGTATTCAGCGGGAAAATTATAGTGTTGCCTACTTTCGAAGTAAATAACGGTATTAATTGAGCTAATGAGCGTATCCTGGAATCAAACGCTGTTTACACGAACGGATGAAGTTTTAACACTGAAAAACGTCAGTAGGACTGCTTAGAAATGATCCGTCTATTGGAGGGTATTTTCAGTCTTAAGCTTTAATGCTTAAGACATAAAGTCCTGTGTGCACAAGAAATATTGAGGTCTAAATTAATTCTACAACTCTACTACTTTTACTCATATCACATTAATTGAAAGCTACAAAGCTAGAACAAGTAACTTTATAATAACGAGTACAACCGACACGTTTGAATCGGTTGATAGCTTGATGTGCTGACGCCCGTATTCACAAACGATGCTTTCTTAAGTGAAGCAGCAAATCGAATGCACAGCGTTGAATAGAGCTCTGTGATTGGTTCGTGTGTCACCCTAGACCTCATGGTAATATTTGTGAAAAAAAAATACCGGCGTGAGTCTCTCGAAAACGTAGTTTGTCATAAATGTAGTTTGATATCAAGATTTCTTGACTACGTTTTCAACTAAATGACTGAACTAACGAATGTATTACAACAGTCTACAAGCAAAAAAGCTTAAATGTCCTATGTATTATAGTTTTTATGCTTTATGGGACCTACTTATATTTTTTATATTGCGCATGAACGAAGTTCGAAAGTTACGTGCCGATGACTGGAAAAGTAATGTACGAGATATTTAAAGAACGAATGTAAGTTGGCCTTACGATTGAGCTCCTACTTGATGTTATCGTGCGGTGTGAGAATAGGGGTCTTAAGTAGTTGGTGTTGGGGATTTAGTTCTTTAACGGTACGGTTTAGCTACACTCCATCGGCTACACTTGTAGCTACAAGTTTAAAACATACTATACTTAGAGTAGGTTGTGATTTCAGTAGTAGGTACATGTGCATTGTATGATGTACCCAGCTTTTTGACACAAAGTATACTCGTACATTTATCTGTTTACACTGATACAGACAATCTGTATAGGGTGGATCAAGTAAATTTTATGGATCAAAGCTCAAGAAATTTTGGGTTTTTTCTGTCTTGATAGTAACAAGAAAGTCATCAGATAAAAAACTTTTAGACCAAAAATTTATACTTACCTAAGTACTAAGACTAGGACTAAAATAAATAATGAACAGAATTCATTTACTTCAGTTTAGCTTCCACAAACATTTGAATAAAGTAAACCGTGTAAATCAGATATCCACTAAATGGCAGGACCCCAAAAAAACATATAATAAAATACGCATGATATACGCGGGTCAAATTTTAATTTCTCATCTCCGGACATTATCGGGGTAGGTAATCGAATCAAACGACACCCCTTCAGCGATAAATAAAGAGGCTCTCCATAAATAACTGTGGAACTCCCGCCTAATGAGTTAAGGGAGGTCCGGGGGTTTTAAGTGAGGGTAAAGATTCTGGTCGCTTTGACGTGTTTCAGGCACTCCCGTAACGCAACGAAATAAATTAGGAGAAAATAAGAGGAGTTCAAGGAAAAGGATTACTTTGACGTGCATGAAAATGCCAGTTAATTTTGTTTATACTTCTAGATCGATTCTCTAGTTACACGTATGAGTCCGCTGACTAAATCTCCTCTATCCGGAACTCTTCCTAAGAATACATCCAATCGCGTTCTTTGAAACAACCAGTTGAGCAAATTTCTTTGCCTTTACATAGCGATTTTATAGCAACTAATCGCCATCGCCGCCGACGAATAGCGGCCTTAGAGGCAAAATTGAAACAGTTTCCTCCAATAAACCATTTGTATTCAAACGGGTGCCGTCCAGCCACATTTTAATTTACTTACGCGAATTAAAAACGAGCGTGATACGAATCCAATCGGTTTTTACTACGATACTTTATTTTTATCGTTGATTGAAGGATGGAGGCTGGAATCAGTAAGGAATGGTCGCAGGGCTCTTAGAAAACCCACGCAATGCGTACCGCGCTAAAAAAGATTTGTGTGTCTTAAAAAGACAATTACATAATCAGTTTGTTATAAATATAAATTATTCTGTTCTGTTAACGGCATTTTCAGTAGCGGTATTCAATCCAGTACATTTAATTTCTGGGTAATTTATAAAATAACTCATGAAGTCTAAGATGAAGCACATTCTGTAAACACTTATTCACCTCTGTTTTAAAGACACCAAAATTTTTATTCTCTCAACTGTGGCAGATTTTTTCTAGATACGAGGTAAGCTTCAGTGAACGAGTTAATTAAAAAAATGAGATCGACAGGGATCGAACTGAGTTTAAAATCATTTAACTTTTCCACTGCGCCTTTTTAAAGCATAATTGCAAAAATATACTTTATGACTTTTTTATGGCCGTTATTTTTTCTATATTTCGAACACCCAATACCTCACACCTTAAAAAAGAATTAAAAGCGCTTAATAACACCGCAGCCGTGCGCTGTCGCCGCTGGATTCGATGTTTATATTAGCACAACAATCGCGCAGCGCTGCAAGCGCTTTGTAGTGGTAATTTCATTAGACGCGGTCGGCTCGGCGCATATTAATTGGGGATGACTTTGCCGTGCACTTTTGCAAGGAAATAATAAATAAAATAAGATAACTGGGCTACTTCAGGAGTTTTTAGAACCATAATATTAAATTCTAGTTTCTGGATAGACTCGGCATACGAGCGGTCAACCTTTATTTTGTCACCTGTCATCCACTTTGCACTAGAAGCTTCCTTCTTGCTGCTCATGTTCTTCTGATTAATTTCGTTGCGGGTCCAATGACAGTTTAATTTTCCCCGGGACAAACTTGATATTCACTGCTTGGGTTTTTATTGGCGGTCAAGCTGTAAATCCTGGCTTCACTTACACAGGAGTTGCAGCGGTGGAAACAAGAGTTGAGGAATGAGAGGTGGGAATAGTCCCGTTTTACGAGCAGTCTAGCTGATGGAAATTCGCTATCTCAAATTAAAGGAGATTTGATACTAAAAGAGCAACTAAAGCACCCGGTTTAAAAACACTATTTCTCACTATGAAAGTCTAGCTCTTGAATACGTATCATACTAAAAAAGCGTTAAATCAAAAATATTACATTGCAGAAGTATCTCAACGTTTCAATTCGATCGAACCACGAGCGGCAACGAAACAAACAAAAGTGAAACACTATAGATAGAACAATGATCGAACCTGCATAACCGATTTAGGTCAGTCGGTTTAATATCATCAGAGCGATCCGATTTCGTTTTAATTTACAGATTGTAACTGGATAGATCTGGTGCAATCCGGTGCAGATTGAATAGAATAATACTAAACGTGGACTATGGATTTTCTATATTCTCTTATTTATCATTTCCAAAGTGGGAAAAGTTTTTCAAGCTCTACCTAATATTTTTGGTACGTATTATTGTGTATTAATTTGTGACATGTAGGTGTTATTCATATTATACATTTTTATTTATTCGTTTATGTTGTTACTGTACACAGCATGTGGTCTTCAAAGATAAAATATACTATGAAAGTTATAAATGTAGGAGCTTTCTTTGACTTTTGAGCAAAGTGAATGTATAAAAATAATCAGAAAAGAAGATATAGATTGAAGAAAGACGAAAATGTAGTTACAATTATTAGGTATTACAATGACAGTTCTATTCGTTCTGTTCATAAATAAATAAATACAGAACAGTAGCAATTCTTGAACAGTTACACAATAAATTAATAATGAAACACTATACGACCAATGTTTCCCGTTCTGCATTACTTAAATAGGTCAATCGGCTCAATATCAGCAATCAGTGCGTTTTAATTTTAATTTACCGCCCATAACCGGTCTGAACTGGTTCAATCCGGTACAACTGCAGAGATGGGGTTCATTAACAAGCGGATTGTTCCGCCTTCTAATGGTATCGAGTAAGTTGTGGCAGCTTTGCTGGATAACTTGGGATTAGATGAGGAAATTTTAATAATAATAAATANTATACGACGTCGAAAATTGACCGAGATTGAATGAGTTAATGTTATTTGGTTTAAATGTTCAAAATTACACTGGTTAGCTGTTAAGATTTCGTATGTGCAGTTCGTGAACTGATAAATAAATAAATAAATAAATAATCTTTATTCACAAATATCATTTCCTGTGATGTAATAAACCACAGCTTCTGCACTAGGCTCGCAGGCCTGTGTCGCAGTAGTTGTGTTGAGTGAGCATTACAGATTACATTTTTACATTAAATATACAGCTCCGATTCCTTATCAGGTGACTATTATTGTGGTTTTTTAAAGATTATGAATCATAAATATTGTAATATATGAACAAATTATGTGTGTGTGTGTGTGTGAGTGTTAGTGTTGTGTTCGAGAGTGTAAGATGAGTCGCATGTCAAGATTGTGGGAGGATTCGTTCCGAATCTGCATAATTAAGGTCCAATAACCAAAGTTATAGTTGATAAACTGTTAATGTTCTTCCTTCCTACCCAACCCGCTTGACCAGAGCGTGGAGAGTGTAGGTCAAATGCTCCGTTATCCTCAAATTTTAAGTTCGTATTCCTGCAGTGAAAACTTGATCTCATGATGGTGGTGTTTATTCCAGGTTTGACCACGAGCATAGTGCCGATGTACCTGACGGAGCTGGCGCCGCTGGCGCTGACGGGGGCTATGGGGGTCGCGTGCCCCATGGGGGTCAACGTGGGGGTCCTCGTGGGACAAGTCATGGGCCTTAAGTTTTTGTTAGGTGAGTTTATATGGATACGCAGTGTGTAATTTTTATGATAAAAAAACAAAATACTGCTCAAATGAAACAACTTTTCCCAAGGGACTAAAGTTATAAAAAACCCTAAGAAACAAATTATCATCAGCAATCAATTATTTAAATGGAGTTGTGATTTTTTTATATTAGTCCTGTAGGAAATATAGTTGCGTTTGAGTAGTAGAATCAACCCTTTTTGGATCAACTATAAAAGACACCCTGTATCTTAGACAAAAACACGTCTATTTAACTACTGCATTTTATTTGCGTTTTATGCAATTGTAATAGGGAAGAATTTATAATTTAAATGTATGTATAATGTATGGTCTGATGTGCTGTCCTCTCTACCTGATTCGCTATAATTTATGAACGAATATATTTCAATAGTAGTATGTAGTAATGTAATTATTCATGAATGACACATTTTGGCAAGCGATAAGATAAAAAGCAGTGAACTTGACCCCAATTAGTCGTGTGCGTAGATATCGTAATATTATCAGTTATGTGTAGAAACTGTTTACGCATGAATCTTTTGTCAACATTCGCACGCGGCTTGAAATTAATTAAGTTTCGTTAGCGAACTTTATCTCTTTCGAATTATTATTTAAAAAAATTGTCGGCCATATGATTTTGGGAACACGGTTATACAATTTGGTTACCGTAAAAATAATACAAAAATGAAACTAGAAAGAAATAGAATTTGACAGTCAACTGAAAAATGAAACTCGGATGACGTTCCTATGCATCGAAAGTGCGAACCAACTTCTTAGTTCACTTGTGACGATTGCCTATCGATTGCAGGGTAGATGCGCGTTTTATAACAGTTCTACTGCAGCTTAATTGCAATTTTGCAGCTGCCTAGTAGTCTGTCTATATGAAGCATTTACTCATCTAGCTAGAGTAGTGTGTTAAACATTTGTTTTAATATTTTTTCCTTTGCATCTTTTTTGAACGAATATTTTGCGTTTTGTTGCAGGTGGTGCGAACGATTGGCCCTACTTATTGTCCGTCTACGTGTTGCTAGTCATTTTTTGTTTACCCTTACTTTTTATTTTACCTGAAAGTCCAAAATATCTTTTTGTTGTTAAGAGAGACGAAGAAGGTGCTTTAAGAGGTGAGTTACCAATTTTACTGTATTTTATGTTTTTATCGTAAAATGGAAATATCCATAGAAATGATTTAGAAAAAATAATAGTAAGGTGGCAACTAAGCCTGACACCAAAGTTACCAAGGATCTAAACTAATCCAATTTAGATGGGAAAGAATATCTTTCCTTGTATTCGAACCTGATTTAAATGTAATTAAAGCTCAAAATATCTTGGCAAAAGATATAACATCACCCTGTATATCCTTTCAGAGCTAAGCCGTCTTCGGGGCGTGTCCACAAGCGTTCTAAACGAGGACATAGATATGCTTCGCGAAGAGGCTCGCGCGTCAAACGCCGCGGCGGGAGGCGAGCAACACTGGAGCATGATACGGGTGTTGAAAGACCCGAGGTTACGGCTGCCTTTATTGCTTGCCTGCTCAATGCAAGCGGGGCAGCAAACTAGCGGGATAAACGCGGTAAGTCACATAAAGAGTGGGAGGATATTGGAAAACCGACTGTGGACGGGCGCCCGCAGTGAGTGTGCGAGCGCGACAGCAACATAATTACGCGCGAGCGTTAAGGATGGGTAGCTTGGGGTCATTGGACAAAATTCTACGTGCTCACGGACCAGGCTTTAGTATACTGGCGGTATAAAGGCGGTAAGTACCTTAAATACAGGGTGTGACGCAGTTGGAAGACTGCAGGCGAATAGCTCTGGAGTCTGGAGCATGATACGGGTACTGAAAGACCCGAGGTTACGGCTGCCTCTACTGCTAGCCTGCTCTATGCAAGCGGGACAGCAAACTAGCGGTATAAACGCGGTAAGTGTCATATAAAGACAGGGTAGGAGTTAGAACAACACTGGAGCATGATACGGGTGTTGAAAGACCCGAGGTTAAGGCTGCCTTTATTGCTTGCCTGCTCAATGCAAGCGGGACAGCAAACTAGCGGGATAAACGCGGTAAGTGTGATATACAGTATGGGAGGGAGTTAGAAAACTGCGGGGAATAAACATGGAGCATGATACGGGTGCTGAAAGAGCCGAGGTTACGGCTGCCTCTGTTGCTAGCATGTTCCATGCAAGCAGGACAGCAAACTAGCGGTATAAACGCGGTAAGTACCATAAATACAGGGTGTGACGCAATTGGAAGACTGCAGGCGAATAGCTCTGGAGTCTGGAGCATGATACGAGTGCTGAAAGACCTGAGGTTACGGCTGCCTCTACTGCTAGCCTGCTCGATGCAAGCGGGGCAGCAGACTAGCGGGTTAAACGCGGTAAGTGTGATATACAGGGTGAGAGGGAGTTAGAAAAACTGTGGGGAATAAACATGGAGCATGATACGAGTGCTGAAAGACCCGAGGTTAAGGCTGCCACTATTGCTAGCCTGCTCTATGCAAGCGGGGCAGCAGACTAGCGGGTTAAACGCGGTAAGTGTGATATACAGGGTGAGAGGGAGTTAGAAAAACTGTGGGGAATAAACATGGAGCATGATACGAGTGCTGAAAGACCCGAGGTTAAGGCTGCCACTATTGCTAGCCTGCTCTATGCAAGCGGGGCAGCAGACTAGCGGTATAAACGCGGTAAGTGTGATATACAGGGTGAGGAAGTTAGAAAAACTGGGTAATAAACATGGAGCATGATACGAGTGATAAAAGACCCGAGGTTACGGCTGTCTCTACTGCTAGCCTGTTCGATGCAAGCAGGGCAGCAGACTAGCGGGATAAACGCGGTAAGTGTGATATACAGAGTGAGAGGGAATTAGAAAAACTGTGGGGAATAAACATGGATCATGATACGAGTGCTTAAAGACCCGAGGTTAAAGCTGCCTTTGTTGCTAGCCTGCTCGATGCAAGCGGGACAGCAAACTAGCGGTATAAACGCGGTAAGTGTGATATACAGAGTGAGAGGGAATTAGAAAAACTGTGGGGAATAAACATGGATCATGATACGAGTGCTTAAAGACCCGAGGTTACGGCTGCCTCTACTGATGGCCTGCTCCTTGCATATACAGGGTGAGGGACTAAAGTTTGTTCTAGTTAGCTTATAATGTTTACAAGTTAAGCAGCAAACTGGTAGCCTAAATGCACAGTAATCATGATTATAAGGCAATAACCAGGCCACTCTGATGGCATAAAATATACAAAAAAAAAACAATTATTGTTTTACATGAGTAACAAATGTAATTTGAATGTAGATCTTCAGCAAGTTATCTTCAACTATTATTTTTTTCAGGTGTTCTACTACTCGCAGACGATCTTCAAGCAGGCAGGACTCGACGAGGCACAGTCACAGTACGCGACTATAGCGTGCGGGTTCATCAACGTGTGCACAGCATTGCTTATGCTGTGGCTGCTACCACGCGCTGGCCGCCGCCCGCTGCTACTAGGGTCGATACTGGCGGCCGCTGTGATATTGGCCGGGCTGGCCGCTTCCATGAAGTTCATGGTGAGTGTATGAGGCAGTCAGTATGAGGCTATAGCGTGCGGGTTCGTCAATGTGTCGATATTGCTGGGGTCGATACTGGCGGCCGCTGTGATACTGGCCGGGCTGGCCGCTTCCATGAAGTTTATGGTGAGTGTATGAGGCACAGTACGCGACTATAGTGTGCGGGTTCATTAACGTGTGCACAGCATTACTCATGCTGTGGCTGCTACCACNGCTGAAGGACCCGAGGTTAAGGCTGCCTCTACTATTGGCCTGCTCTATGCAAGCGGGGCAGCAAACTAGCGGTATAAACGCGGTAAGTGTGATATACAGAGTGAGAGGGAATTAGAAAAACTGTGGGGAATAAACATGGAGCATGATACGGGTGCTGAAGGACCCGAGGTTACGGCTGCCTCTACTGTTAGCCTGCTCTATGCAAGCGGGGCAGCAGACTAGCGGTATAAACGCTGTAAGTGTGATATACAGGGTGAGAGGAAGTTAGAAAAACTGCGGGGAATAAACATGGAGAATGATACGAGTGCTGAAAGACCCGAGGTTACGACTGCCTTTGCTGCTAGCCTGCTCAATGCAAGCGGGGCAGCAAATTAGCGGTATAAACGCGGTAAGTGATATATAGGGTGAGAGGGAGTTAGAAAAACTGTGGGGAATAAACATGGAGCATGATACGGGTGCTGAAAGACCCGAGGTTACGGCTGCCTTTACTTCTTGCCTGCTCAATGCAAGCGGGGCAGCAGACTAGCGGTATAAACGCGGTAAGTGCCATAAAGAGTGGAAGGAATATTGGAAAACCGCGGGCAGAGAAAGGCACTGGAGCATGATACGGGTGCTGAAGGAACCGAGGTTGAGACTGCTTCTATTACTGCTGGCCTGCATATACAGGGTGAGGGACTAAAGTTTGTTCTAGTTAGCCTAAATGCACAGTAATCATGATTATAAGGCAATAACCAGGCCACTCTGATGGCATAAAATACACAAAAAAACAATTATTGTTTTACATGAGCAACAAATGTAATTTGAATGTTGATCTTCAGCAAGTTATCTTCAACTATTATTTTTTTCAGGTGTTCTACTACTCGCAGACGATCTTCAAGCAGGCCGGTTTAGACGAAGCACAGTCACAATACGCGACTATAGCGTGCGGGTTCATCAACGTGTGCACAGCATTGCTTATGCTGTGGTTACTCCCTCGAGCTGGTCGTCGTCCGCTTCTACTGGGGTCAATACTGGCGGCCGCTGTGATACTGGCCGGGCTGGCCGCTTCTATGAAGTTTATGGTGAGTGTATGAGGCACAGTACGCGACTATAGCGTGCGGGTTCATCAACGTGTGCACAGCATTGCTTATGCTGTGGCTGCTACCACGCGCTGGTCGTCGTCCGCTGCTGCTGGGCTCGATACTGGCGGCCGCTGCGATACTGGCCGGGCTGGCTGCTTCCATGAAGTTCATGGTGAGTGTATGAGGCAGTCAGTACGCGACTATGTGTGCGGGTTCATCAACGTGTCGATATTGCTGAGGTCGATACTGGCGGCCGCTGTGATATTGGCCGGGCTGGCCGCTTCCATGAAGTTTATGGTGAGTGTATGAGGCAGTCAGTATGCGACTATGTGTGCGGGTTCATCAACGTGTGCACAGCATTGCTGATGCTGTGGTTACTCCCTCGCGTCGGTCGTCGTCCGCTACTGCTGGGGTCGATACTGGCGGCCGCTGCGATACTGGCCGGGCTGGCCGCTTCCATGAAGTTCATGGTCAGTTTTCATAGTCATAGTCATATATGTTTATTGCATCATGTTGGTACATTTGGATCTTAAATATTAATACAGAGTCCCGAAACATGGCCCTGTAAGGGCATTGCAACATTATAGGTACATACAATATTAAAATCTAAATTATCAAAATAACAATATTACAGACAATTGCTTAGGTATATTTATTTACAATGGGGATGTTGCCTGGGTCAAAAAGCAAGAGTTTTAATTAGTCCGTCAGTTAACTTATCAAAAAATACTCTACACGTATTTTTCACTTTTTCAAACTAATGAAAATTTAAAGAGATAAAGCGCCCCAAAGTTCATAAGAAGAGGCCCGTGACGTCAACGCTTGCTTAAAAATGCCGCACGTTGTGACGTCGTGCGCAACTTCAACGCACCATAACTATGTAATTATTTGTTAGATTGACAAATAAAAATATACGTGTCCAATATTTTTTGATATTAAACATTACGGACTAAAAAAATTTTTTTAGGCAACTAGCCTATTCGATACTGGCGGCCGCTGTGATATTGGCCGGGCTGGCCGCTTCCATGAAGTTCATGGTGAGTGTATGAGGCAGTCAGTATGAGGCTATAGCGTGCGGGTTCGTCAATGTGTCGATATTGCTGGGGTCGATACTGGCGGCCGCTGTGATACTGGCCGGGCTGGCCGCTTCCATGAAGTTTATGGTGAGTGTATGAGGCACAGTACGCGACTATAGTGTGCGGGTTCATTAACGTGTGCACAGCATTACTCATGCTGTGGCTGCTACCACGCGCTGGCCGCCGCCCTCTACTTCTAGGGTCGATACTGGCGGCCGCTGTGATATTGGCCGGGCTGGCCGCTTCCATGAAGTTTATGGTGAGTGTACGAGGCACAGTACGCGACTATAGCGTGCGGGTTCGTCAATGTGTCGATATTGCTGGGGTCGATACTGGCGGCCGCTGCGATACTGGCCGGGCTGGCCGCTTCTATGAAGTTTATGGTGAGTGTATGAGGCACAGTACGCGACTATAGCGTGCGGGTTCATCAATGTGTCGATATTGCTGGGCTCGATACTGGCGGCCGCTGCGATACTGGCCGGGCTGGCCGCTTCTATGAAGTTCATGGTCAGTTTCAACCCTCTATTGCTCTTTTGTTGCGGGTGAAATGCCAGTTTAATTTTCGTTTCGCTTGAAACAGTGCCAAACAGTATCTCTAGTAAAAACATTTTCGTCTTCAAATCGTTTGCGTATTCAATATCTCACTACATTTAAACATAATTTGAAACCCAGGCATCAAATTCAAAATTATTTTCGTGCTACCATTTCTCATACTAAGTTCATTTTACGTCACGTTCATTATTTGATCTCGATATTATATCTTTAGATGTCCTACGTGTCCAATACAATAACATCTTCAGGATGTTGTTGCGGCTGCCGCGCCACTGTAGCGCATCGGGGATGTTTGCGCAACATCACACCGACGGCTTTCACGCTGTCCTCCGTAAGAAGACAGCATCTGTGATAAGCAGACTGCGCGGCAGCGGCAACAGCATTCTGAAAACGGTGGCTGACAGATACACATCACCTATGTGGAGATGTTGGGTGCGGAGGGTGATTATGTGAGAAGACACTTGTGGCATAGTCACACTCGGCGGCTTTCAAAATGCCTACAATTATTAGAAAACCAAACACTTTACTAACATTACTTTTAAGATTATAAATTGTATCCTACTAACCACTATGAACTGTAAAATTGTTTGAAATAAACGTCATTATTATTATTATAACAACATACGAGGTTCATGCTATTGTTTTTTTAGTACTCGTAACGGCCGCAGAAGCGCTGTTTAAGTTTTCATACTAAATCTCTCGATGGCGATTCGTCACGCCACGATACCAAATCGTATGAAATGCCACCCAACGCTTATTTTTATTTTCCTCTGTTCTTTACAGGCCGTGGTGTCGTGGATGCCGTACGTTTGCATGGCGGCGGTGCTGGGCTACGTGCTAGTCTACGGGTTCGGGCTTGGGCCCATCCCGTATTTTATAGCCTCAGGTCAGTATGATAAACTTCTATAAAATATGTAGGATGATTGCTATAGTAATTAGCCTATACATAGTTATTGGCATATTGGATTGTTAATAAGTAAGAGACAAAAATATTTACTACATTGGACTGCGTATTGCTCAGAAGAAATATATATGAATCTTTTCCTCTCTTAATAACTTCCATTAGGCTTGTTTCTTTTCATTTTAGGCAAGTTGGCCAATAACTATGTATTGGCTAATTACTATAGCGATCACATATTAAAACTCAAAGGTGACTGACTGACATAGTGATCTAACAACGCACAGCCCAAACCACTGGACGGATCGGGCTGAAATTTGCCATGCAGGTAGATGTTATGACGTAGGCATCCGCTAAGAAAGGATTTTACGAAACTCCACCCCTAAGAGGGTAAAACGGGATCCACGCGTGCGAAGTCGCGGGCGGCCGCTTATATTCGAAAAATACAAATAAATGGGATTTCACTTTTGTACAGGCAAAGGAACTTCGAGCTATAAGAAAACTCTAATCTAATTCCAAAATAAGCCACATCGTTAATTTTTTCCGCTAGGTGGCGCATTGTTCCTCGGATTTTGAATGCCAGTTATGCTATTGTTATTGATTTGGTACTTATTTTTCCGCAGAGATCTTCGAAGTAGGTCCTCGGCCCGCGGGCATGGCTTGGGGTTCTCTAGCCAACTGGGGCGGCAACTTCGTGGTGGGCATGTCTTTCCCCACCATGCGAGACTGCCTCGGGCCCTACTCCTTTATAGTCTTCGCTGTTATCACTGCCATGCTGTTTGTCTTCCAGAAGTAAGTGTTTTTATAAAGCAATTCTGCTAGGCAGGGCCGTCTTTAACCTACTAGGGGCCCTGGGCATTTAAGGATTAAGGGGGGCCCTTATAGGGTTGCCAGGTCCTAAAACACAAAAGCCGGACATTTTACCCTAAAATCCGGACATGTCACGGGGGGTGTTGAAATTAGTGTCATAGCTTACGAGTGAATTCTATCATCATCGGTTGCCCAACATCCTGATGCGTGCGCTTGATATTATTCTATAGCTCGACTTTCGCCTAGCGCGGCAATCACATAAAAAACCTGGCAACCCTAGGCCCTTATCATCTGGAAAAATATCTTATTAGCAGATGAGGGCCCCTCGGTCGCGGGGCCCTGGGCACGTGCCCAAAGTGCCCAGTGGGAAAGAGGGGCCTGCTGCCAGGCTACGATGCGCGTCATGATAAAATCTTATCGTGATGTCAGAAATCGATAGTGCCTCTACAACATTGTATCGTTGCTCATCTATTACCCGTAAGTTTGGGGATTCCCAGACGGATCTTTTTATTTTCTTTTTATTATCTGAACGCAGGCCGCTAGCAACCGAGTAACATGGAAAGCATTGGAGGCCTATGTTCAGCAGTGGACGTCCTATGGCTGAGATGATGATGATGATGATGATGATCTTTTTATTTTAAAGATTCGATTTTGAAAAAGGAATTACGTTAACCATCACTTCACTTTTATAGACTCCTATTGATTTCAATAACCGGTAATAATGTAATTTAAATCTTTAAAATGTTTTTTTTTTTCTATTTACTTCGAACAGAAAGATGTTGAACAAGTGGGTCCTAAGATACACCTTTAAATTAGCAATTGTTCCTACATCTCTTATTATTAATTTCCAGGTTATACTTCCCCGAAACGCGCGGCAAGACGCCAACACAAATTACGCAACTGTGCAGCCGAGGTTTCCGCTCGAAGCCGCTACGCAGCGCCACCGCGCTAGGACCTGTTTGACGGCGCCTGCGCACCGCGCGGGAATCGAATAGTTAATGTTACTGCACATCCAGTTAAACACTATAAATGCTGATTGATTCATGCCCGTTTTAAATGCCAATTTTTAAATGACCCCTATGGTAACACAACAGGAATTTTGTTTCGATAGGGGTCACTTAAATTAGGGATTGGTAGTGAAAACGGGTATCAATGCCTGAGGTATGGAAGCGGCACGGGAGGGGTGACATTTACATATTTGGCGTGTAAATAGCCACACCAGGAATATTTGCGGAGAAGAGAAATGATGCGGGGGTCGGCTGGTGACTCAAACAACTCAAAAATACAGCTGCATAAAACGGAAACCACCAACCTGCGGATCAGGAGACGGAGACCAGGCTTCGAGGGTCGACCCGTCGATATTTCTTGCGGTTTACTTGCGGTTTTGATTATTTCAGTTTAAGTTCAGAGGTTTTTTTCCATTTGACAGACGTTCAAAGACAACGAGTGCTGTTTTTTTTATTGAGGTTTCTCGCGTGGCACTTAACACTGGCCACTTGGCTCCTGCGAAGGTGCTGGCCCCGAATCCGATAAACAGATTTGCGGGAAACCATCTCATGCAGCTAGATAATTTTGAGAGTTGGAGCCACCGAAGAAAAGGAAGATAAGAAATTTGGGCATAGGCCCAACAAATATTATTATTATGTCGTAACAGAGCATACAATTCTGAAGAAGATCTGAAGTCTCTGACGTTTGACCGTCACCAAAACACCCTTTCAAGCCGCTCCCATACCTCAGGCACTTCTCAGTTATGCGATAGATATACAGGGTGGAAACGATAAGTGATCTCACTCGATTATTTCTAAACTATACAAGATATCAATAAACTAGTTACTGATCCTGGAAGTGCTTCATGAGCTATATCAAACGGTATTAATAATAGGTTACAGAATAAACTGGATCTATCCGAAAATTCAATGTTTCCAACTTCCATACATTTGGTAAAGTCACATTATATTAAAAACTACACATGATAACGTAAAACTGATTATTGATTCTAAAAGTGCTTCACAAGCTCTATCCAATGGTATCAATAATAGGTTACAGAATAAACTGGATCTATCCAAAAATGCAATGTTTCCTTCTTTCACAATAAATAATTTTGAATTTTGAATTTCATACATTTTGTACTACCACATTCATGACACTCATCTCTTGACAATATTATAGCAAGTAAAGCCTAAAACCAATTTTTTCCATGAATAATTTAAAATAAGAATACAATTTACGAGCTTATTTTAAGAGATTATTATTAAATAAAAAAATATACACTTCTAATATTGTGTGTCTGGCATACATTTAGTATGGAAGCTGGAAACATTAAATTTTCAGACAGATCCAGTTTATTTTGTAACCTATAGTAGTAGTAGTTTAGTTTTTAACCTATTCCAGTTTATATTGGTACCGTTTGAAAGAGCTCTTGAAGCACATTCAGAATCAGTAACCAGTTTTTCAATATCTTGTATAGTTTAGAAATAATCGAGTGAGATCACTTAACGTTTCCACCCTGTATAGCAACTTATGCAGTTGTTATAGGAGTGGTTTTGCTACAAAAATTCATAGTCTGACGTGTTGATGACTGTATAACCAGAGTAAATACAAATGAGTAGGTCATCTTCATAGAAACGCACCGAGCGCGGTTTGTATGTGAGCACGCCAATATACGTATGCGGCAATATATAACATACAAACCGCGCCCGGTGCGTTTCTATGAAGATGACCTACTCATTTGTATTTACTCTGGTATAACGTGTTGAGAAGCTGTTGCGACTTTTTTCCGCACTAGTTACTTTGACAGTTTTGAAGCGTCTATGCCAATTTTTTTAAGAGGGTTATATTTTTAAAGCACTGATTATTTTAATAGAATCGGCCAATAGGCTAGGCTACTTTAAAAAAATGATACAAAAATTCGCAGTAGTTACTGCACAAGTGCCTAAAGCTTTGTGACTTTTGCGAGTAAGGTTTTTTAAAGATCTGCTGGAAAAATAATTTCGGTTTTTAAGTTTTTTTTTTATAATAAGAGGGGGAAATCTAGTTTGAACCACCAATGCGATCAACACAATTTACTCATAGCTTTTATAAATTACAAAATATTCTAGACTTTCTAAATTAATCTCTACTAAGAAGTGCTTACCAAAAGAAAATAAACTGTGCCTGTAATATTAAATATTATTATTAGATATCATAATTAATACATACAAATTGTTAAAAACATCGCCCATTAATAAACATGTCGTCCATAATATTTTGTATTAACAAAACCATAATGAACAAAAACCGACTCCAAAAAACCTACACTAAAACGTAAAAAAATAATTACTAATTACCTACTTATTTATTAGGACGAATTATTAATATTTATGTAGGTATACGATGATTGATACTTCTGGAGTCGGTGCCGAAATTATGAAACATGTAAAGTTTGCCTGCACCGACTCCAAAAGTATCAATCATGGTATACCTACATAAATATTAATAATTCGTCCTAATAAATAAGTAGGTAATTAGTAATTATTTTTTTACGTTTTAGTGTAGGTTTTTTGGAGTCGGTTTTATTTTTTTTTATAAAACATTACTTATTTCTTGCTTTTTAGTTAACTAATTATTACCTTGATGTTACCACTGAAGGTAGGCAGTACACTGAGACCAAAAAAAANTACCAAACCATGAAACGTAGGTCTATATTATTAAAAAGTTTCGCAGATAAAAACTGAAATCCTCTTATAAGGTGATGAATTTTAGGAGCATGTCATGAAACCAAAATTATTAGCATACAAGAGCTTGTTTTAAAAAAATATTTTTATTTATGATGGGGAATTTACTGCGGCGTAGTAGCAGAGATTTTCCGTTTGTAGATCGTAATAATTTCGAAGAATAGGGATGTTTCGTGGATAAAGCAAGAAAGTAGCAAGAGTTTGAATTAGTCCGTCGGTGAACTTACCAAAAAAAACTCTAAATGTCACTTTTTTAAATTTATGAAAATTTAAAGAGATGAAGCGCACCAAAGTTCAGAAGATGAGGCACATGACGTCAAGGCATGCTTAAAAATGTGGCGATTTGTGTCGTCACGCGGAATTTCATCGCATCATATGTTCGTAAATTACTTGTTTAATTGACAAATAAAAATATCGTTTAATCCCTAATTGCTATGGGGCCACTGGCATTCCAACTCTACCATCAGATCAGCTCCATGTCATCACAATATTGCATTATCACCCGAATTACATGTATATCCGAAATTTTAACTCAATCAATTGATGAAGGATTTCTAATAAAAAGACAATTACATTTTCAGTTTATTCTTCATAAGTGACACAGAGTAGACAAAAGCAGAAACATTTGCTTTTTAGGCCATAGACAATAGGGGAGAGTTCGGTATATTGGACCGCCGGGTAAATTGTACCACCCTCATATTTCGTAAAGTATTTATTGAATGTCTGTAATTGCAACACTCAGCGATACACAACTAAAATCAATTAATATCNCGTACAAAATGATCATGGATTTTGTTATTTTTATTAAATACCTTTACGCCTGAGTTAAATGACACCGACATCAAGGTTCATCAATTTAAGTTTAAAATAATAGGCAGTAATGTATGAAGAAAGAGCTTCTATTCTGTATCTACCTATGCCCGTGTATTTTTGATCGGTGTCAAATCGGAGTTTTTGGTGCGGGGTACGCGGGTGTTGCTCGCGGCGTGAAGGTCAAACGCCCAAGGTCATTGAGGACTCTAATCGCCTTAAAGAAATATTTAGTTAGGGTTAGGCAGAAAGAGCTTGTTCTTTTTTCAAACGTGAAGCGATCGTGAATGGTGTTTATCTAGAGGCGTGCGTTTCGTTTCTAGCCCAATCAAATGTTTTTAAAATACAAATTACTTTAATACATAGGCGGTACAAAAGTTGACATGAAAAAGACTCAAAATTCGATTCGATTTTTCCAGTGTGGAAAATATTTCAAACGTTTTAACGGACCTACTATGTTAACATCATATATTTTGATGTCATTAGCATAATTTATACTGTACACCGTAAGCAGACGTATATGCGCAATTACAAATAGTATAAAAAGTTTTCTGTTCTCTGCACCTTGTACAGTTGATGGCGCATCAGACTTCTTTGTTACATCGCACTATTATGCAGTGTTTAGAAATGCTATTGTCTGTACACGTGCGTGATGTCACTAACCTTGATTGTATAGGCGCGTCATAATGACGTCCATGGGCATAAATTGTGTCTGTTATAGATCGTTTTATCCACGAAGACGCGCCTCACCAATTTTTGGTCGAGGGAAGCGNTTATTATTATTATAACAACATACGAGGTTCATGCTATTGTTTTTTTAGTACTCGTAACGGCCGCAGAAGCGCTGTTTAAGTTTTCATACTAAATCTTTCGATGGCGATTCGTCACGCCACGATACCAAATCGTATAAAATGCCACGCAACACTTATTTTTATTTTCCTCTGTTCTTCACAGGCCGTGGTGTCGTGGATGCCGTATGTTTGCATGGCAGCGGTGCTGGGCTACGTGCTAGTCTACGGGTTCGGACTCGGGCCCATCCCGTATTTTATAGCCTCAGGTCAGTATGAACTTCATTATTCGTCACTTGTGTAACTTTAGCTGTAATATTATCAAGAGATGAGTGCCATGACTGTGGTAGAACAAAATGTATGGACGATGGAAACATTGAATTTTGGATGGATCCAGTTAATACTGTAACCTATTATTGATACCGTTGGATAGAGCTCGTGAAGTGCTTTCAGGATCAGTAACCATTTTTAAGATATCTTGTGTAGTATTTAATATTATGTGGCGGCACCAAATGTATAGAACCTGGAAACATTGAATTTTCGGATAGATACAGTTTATAATCCAAGTTAACACTACACACTAAAGGGCCACTTATTATGTCAATAAAAATATACAATCACCTACCTGAACACCTAAAAGCTGAAACAAATAGCAGGACATTTGAAAATAGATTAAGGAATATACTTAATCAGAAAACTAATTATAATTTGAAAGAATTTTTAGACGATAAGTTTTTGACATGATTTAACATTTTGACATGATTTTACATTTT